AAGAAGCTAACTATTTGTCTCATTGTCGTTAGTTAGACTTTCTGCAAGGTCACTTAATCCAGACTTGTTGAGTGCACTAATCAGATTATCAGGTGTTGCGTGGACTCCTTCTTGATCTTGCCAGGCAACAAGGAGCTGCTTAGCTCTCATCTTCATGTCTTCACTGTCACACTCAATCTGCCGGATTTCAGAGTCTTTCATTTCCAAGTAGGGAGCCAGAATCTTCCAGTGCTCACCTAACTTGTTGGCATATACCTCTATTTGTTCCCCAGTTACAGGTTTATCTCGCCGAACATCAGGACCTAGAAAATATAGAGGATATTAAATTATGTGCAAAGTATAGTGATGTACAATCCTAATATTTGAAAGTACCACAAAGCTGTGTTCTGATCATCTTAGTAAGCCTGTTTTAAAACTTTTAAAAAATCTTCATGGCTTGAATACCAACTTTAAAAAAAAATCATAATTCAGCACACAAAGCTGTTGCTTCTGTTGTAATTAGAAAGGCTTTCTCTCAAAGGAGCTGTTCTCTCCAACCTCCACTAGTTAACAGAGGTATGATGCTGCCTTAAAATACCTATTTTCTTTTCCTTTAAAATTACCATCTGTAAACTGACCACTGTAGGTCAAAAGTAGAACTGAGATAAAATGATGGAGGTGGAGAAGCAGATCAAATGAAATAACATACTCTCAACAAAGAACCCCAATCTTTTCCAATTTTGTAAAATAGCCAAGAAAATTCAATTCTTACTTTCATTTTCCTTCAGTAAAGCATCATTATCTTCCTCATCTTCATCCTCACCTGTTTTTATTTCTTCAGAAGGAGGCTAGAGATAAGAATAATAATGTTTAAAAGAAAGCCGACTTCTGAAGATACCTGGAAATGCTTTTCATTTTGTCATAAGATTCCCAGTAATGGGTCACAGATCCCCACCACCCAGTATGCCTTCTAATGCAGGACAGAAGACTGAAAAGCCAGGACAATCTGGTTTGGAAATAGCTAGGGTTTAGTATGTTCCAAGGGAAGAGGAGAGCAACCACGCCCATTGCTGCCAAATTGTAACAATGATTTGAAAATGCTATTGGAGGGGCAAAGAGATGGCTAGTGTTTAAGAACACTGTTCTTGCAGAAGACCTGGGTTCGAATCCCAGCACCCACATGGCAGCTAACAACTGTCAGTAACTCCAATTCCAGGGGATCCGAAAGCCTCTTGTCCTCCTCGGGCATTGCACCACATGGGCACACTTACCTACATGCAGGCAATACATGCATACACATAAAATAAAAATAAATATTAAAAAAAAATGCTATTAGAAAAGAGAACTGAGTAGAAAGATAGGCCAGTGCCATATTGCCACTCTTTAGACTCTGGCTCTGATAAAAAGTGGTAAAATACACTGGCAAATGGGAAAAACTTAAGGCCTTAGTTTACAGTGGATAGTAAGTTTATTCAAAATATTATAAGAACGTCTTAGCTGGGCATGGTGGCACACGCCTTTAATCCCAGCACTCGGGAGGCAGAGGCAGGCAGATCTCTGTGAGTTCAAGGCCTGGTCTACACAGTATGTTCCAGGACAGCTGGGGCTACGGGGAGACCCTGTCTCAAAAAAAAAAAGAATGTGCTAAATTGATTGTTGCACAGAAAACTACCAGCTCGTGTTTTTCCTGTAAAATGTATATTCAAATACATTTTTTTCCTCCATTTTAAGACAGGGTGGTCTGTAGATCACATGAGACACTAAATTCAGTTCTGCTCAAATACTGACAGCAGTTTTTAAGCAGATGTCAACTAGGGAATGGGAAAAAAATGAAATACGTTACTTACTGGTAGTTCCTTGGCTAGCTTTATTACCATATTTTCGAGATATTCTGGCAAACTTTTAAACTGCTGGTTGGTTGGCTGGAAGAAGTGAGGGCTTCTCCGTGCCAATAGTCTCAGAGCCCTCCAACCATAATTTGAATTGTTCACAGCTCTGTAGGAAGAGATGTCAGTCTTGTCATTTATAGTTTTCTTTTTCTATATTTCCTTCCATGTCACAGAATTGTACTCTAAAGCAAGTAATAGCTCAAAGTACCATCATGTTCCTAAAGGACCTCTCAGGGTGCAGTCCACATATTAAATAACAGAAACCAACAGATTCATAATTACAGAACCAAAAAATCTGAAGAAACACATTTTGCAAGTGTGTGTGTATACATTATTTCAGCAAGTCAATAGTATGTGTCCCAGTCCTGCTTAGACACTATATTAGTGCAGAAACCACCCATCCAATTATGTAGAAAAGAAATTAATGATAAGTAACTTTTATTGGTGAGTTGATATCTACACTTGCAATGCCACCTTCAGGTGTGAATTGAGTATTTCAGCACTGAGTTTATCATGTTAATGAAACCTGAGATGTTTAAAAATCTAATACTTTTAGGGGTTGGAGAGATGGCTCAGTGGTTAAGAGCACTTACAGCTCTTCTGTCCTTAACTTCAGTTCCAGGGGATTTGATGCCCTCTTTTGGCCTCTGGGCACTATGCATGTGGTAAATGCAGACAAAACACATATCTAAAAAAAAGAACTTTTTCATTACCTTAAAATGCACATCTGCTAAGGCTATGAAAAATGTTCCAAATCAGCAAAAAACTCAAATCTGAAAATACTGCTGGTCTCAAGTATTTTGAATAAAGGACCTGTATTTGGAATTCTATTTATACAACAGCTAATCTTTAATTCACTCGGTACCAACCTGAGTGAAAATGGCTCAAAATGCCCAAAGAGTGAATATCCAGTAGCCCACAATAGGCAATGGCAAGACAAGAATCACAAAAGAGCTTGCTCCTCAGGGAAGCAAAGCACAACCACCTCTGAGAAATCCTTAAAGACAGCGCCCCCAGAAACAGACCAAGTGGCTGGAAATACACTGGGTGCTTGTTTCTTTGTAAGTCACCCCCACCCCCCATAAAGATATGTTACATGGTTTGCCTGATAATGCAAGAGACCCAGAGAGAACTCTGGCAACACCCTCTGTTGCATGAGGAAGCTTCTTAAACCAGTCCTGAATCTATCTCATGTAACAAAGATGAATTAATATTCATTTCATTCAAACAACAAATCCTTATAAGCACTCCAGAGCTCTGGAGACATGTAGATCATGTGTGCCTGGATACAAAAGCTGGGCCGCAACCAGAGTGACTTTCAATACTTGACATGGTAATGTGGAATGGGTTGGCAATCACTGTTACTATAAGCACAAGGCATAACACAGTTTTAGTGGTAAGAATGAGAAAGATGAGTGGGAACTGTGGAGTGCGGTAAGTGGTATGAAACAGATCGCACAGGAACGCCACAGATGAGCTGTGAGAGTGACCAAGCCCTGGAAGCCCAAGAGGATGGGGAAAGAAGTTCAAGCAAGTGGGGTGGTCTGAAGGGGAAGAGAGAAAAGTCTCAAGTTGGAGAGGCATGTATGAGCCAGACCAAGGGTGATTAAAAAGGCCCTGGAGGGCTGGAGAGATGGCTCAGCGGTTAAGAACACTAGCTGTTCTTACAGAATACCCAGGTTCGAATCCCAGCACCCACATGGCAGCTAACAGTTGTCCGTAACTCCAGTTCCAGGGGATCCGACAACTTCTGTCCTCTGCAGGCATTGCAAAACATGGGTGCACTTACCTACATGCAGGCAATACACGCATACACATAAAAATAATAAAGTCTTTAAAAAAATAAAGGAAAAAAAAGGCCTGGAGTTCAGAATAGGTATTTAGTGAAATATTTTAAGCATCAGATGGACTTACGCATATTTTTCTTTTTTGCCTTTTTTTGGGACGGTCTCTCTGTAGCCCTAGCTGACCTGGAGTTTGCTATGTAGACCAGGCTGGCCTCGAATTCACAGAGATCACCTGCCTCTGCCTCCCAAGTGCTGGGATTAAAAGAGTGCACCACCATGCCCGGCATATTTTACTTTTGATAGGATCTCAGTCAGCAGCCTAGACTAGCCTAAAACTCAATCCTCCTGTTTCAGCCTCCTGAATGCTGGAATTATAGGTGTGTGCAACCATGCCTTGTGCATTTATCATAGAGATCACTGACTAGTGCATGGAGAATTGACCACACTAGTTAAGAGGTCGGAGTAAAACTAAAACTTGCCACAGGGCCAAAGTAGTCATGCACATCAAATGCTAACTACATGCCATGCACAGTTCAAAGAATCATTTAATCTTATGAAATGAACCCTATGAAATGACGGCTACCACTCAGCAAATGATGAAAGGGCAGAGATGACTTCAGTTAGGACTGGCCACCTAGACAGTAAGCAGTAGAGAGGATGGGAAGGTATGTATTCTGACAGGAGGGCCCTTGCCTTTAAATCACAACTCCATAATACCTATCTAAAACTATGAGACTGTGGTGTAACTTGGGACATTTTGGATAGAAAGGGTGAGACTGAACCTTAAAGTTACCCCATATATTGAAAGTAAAGCAGCAGAAGCAGAGCCAGCAGTGGAGACTGATGTAGAGGGGCAGCAAAGTAAAAAGGACAGACAGTAAGTGCTTCTACAGGTTCCGACAAAGGAAAACATCACCAGAGCAAGGACAGCTGGTGAGTGCAAAGAGGAACTGGTGAAGTAGCTCAGTGGACGCAAGAAAGGCTGACAGAAACAGGTGAGGAAGTGAAGACAAAAACGACATTGGCTGGCAGGAAAGACTGCTTTGGAGAGGAACAGACATCAAAGTGACAGATGGAGGGAGCCGTGGGCTGAGGGCTGGGGGTTCTAATACTTGAAGCAGAGGTAATTCCAAGTCATGTTTAGGAGTCAATAGTCACTGAAATCAGGGCGTTGGAGGAATGTGAACACTACAGAAACACCCCAAAGGGCTACTCATTGACCAGCTCCCCTTAAACTTTTTAGAATACTTACAATTTCTAAAAACAAACAAACAAAACACTGAAAAATAAGCATCAGCTCATGAGAAACAC